AAAGTAAAACAGATGATGTTAACATAGGTAAAAGAATTTATTAAAAACCGTATAAAAAAATGAACACCACATTAGAAATTTATCTTGCATCATGTAGTTAGAGATGTACTGTAAATACAAAGTTTTGTTTTTATTACACATGAACAAACCAAATGATTGTTTGTGTCCCAAAGAACCAAAATGATTATTTATAGGCCATACAATTGTTGTTTTAAGCAAGAACTGAATTCCCCGGTGTTGATCCAAGGTGTTATTAAGATAAAACAGGAAAGGGGATTCACAGATTTGTTGATAGAGCTATTATTATGTCTGAGAAAGTTGTTGTAAGTACATCTGCTAATCATGAGATCCTGGGTTAGGCCAAAATCAGTTATTGGGTTTTGCCATTAAGAAATTTTAAGCAGCGGCTTAAGCCAGAAAACTGACAGTGTTTCAACCCCGTGCCTCGGAAAGCACGTAAAGCCGTTGTTTCTACGCCTGATTCGATTCGCCGATTCCAATCGTGTTGGATTACCGTTCAACCGGACTTAAAGAGTGGGAGTAGAGAGTGTAAAATAGATGATGGTGACATAGGTAAAAGAATATTATCTTATAAAGTTTGCAAGCTTTTCCTTGGCTTAATGCACCCGGTCTCATTTTATTAAATGCTTCTTCCATTCCTTATGATAATATTTAGTATATATACAATAAATGAAGGTAAACAGAAAAAAAATTAAAAATTTGTTTTAGGTCATCGTACAAAGTTACCACGTATATATATATATATATATTGTAGGTAGTGACATAATCCCGTTGCTTTAGAAATCTTACAAGTAGGTTGGTCTGTTCCCTCTTGATGTTAACCTAACACTACCCAAATAATTCTAGAGAGACCGAAACAGTTGTAAAATCTGAGGGTGCACAGTCAGGACTATATGGTGATCATTGACACTTCTCAATCAAGCTCTCTCAATTTTTGCTGAGTGGCCAAAGATGTGTGTAGTCTGGCGTTATCATGATGAAAGACCATTCCTTTTTGTTGATCAATCCTGGTAGTTTTTTCTGAATTTCTTTCTTGTGTCTCATTAGTTTTTAGCAGTAGAGATCAGAGTCGATGGTTTTGTAAAAGCTCAATAAAAGATGCCCTTCCAATCCCATCATACACACAGCATCACCTTATTGCGTGTTAATCCGAGTCTACTACAGTCTGTGGAGCTTGACTACCCCTTGACAATGATCTCTTTCGCACGTTCTTGTTGTAGGTAATCCACTTTCATCACTGGTGATGATCAATCTTTTCAAATATAGTTCGGTTTAATAATGCTTCAATAGAGAATCGAAAATGAGTACACGATTCATTAGATTTCTTACAGTGAATTCGTGTGGTATCCAAATATCGAGCTTTTATGTATAGCCAGACTTTTTTTGTAGTCAATACTCAATTCCTCGGCTATGTCGTACTTCTAATATGCCGATCTTGCTCCACTTTTTCAAAAATGGTGTCGACTTTATCCGTATGAGGGCAACCAGAGCGAGTTTCATTTTTTAAATCAAAATTATTGGACTGGAAATGCTTGAACCAACTTTGTGCTACTCTCTTACTGACACTGCATTGGGTTCATAAACGTCGTAAATTTTTTTTGCAGCTTGAGTCGCATTTTTCCCTTTTTTGTAACAAATCTTCAGAATGTACAGAATTTCTTCGTTAAATTCATTTATTTTGGCGAAGAGAAAAGCAATTGAAAAATGGCGGGAAAGTGTTGTTTTACTTTTTTTTAACTTAATGTCCTATATGTATTGATATTAAAACCAGCCAGATACAAACAGCACAGCCAAAGAGATTTTTCTTCAATTTTGTACTAACAAAATACGAAGAAACATTTTCTCTGATCTATTAAATTTTATTATTGTTCTTAAAATCCACGTCGATTGTCACCAATTACATCAAAATTGATTGATCCGTTCGAAAGTTATCGTAGTCAAAAAATAAAAAAAGTGTCATATTTTAATTTTTTTAATGCGTTTTCGATGTCATGAGTTAACTGTTAGTTCGTAAAAATATTTGTCGAGCGCTTTGAGATCGAACATATCGAAGTTCCAGGGATGGGCTGCAGGGTCAACTTTTAAATATTGTTAAACATGCGACTTTTTATTTCTTTACTTTTCATTATGCCTAAAAATGCATATACCCAGGAATGAATTGTGATAAAATTATATTAAGTGTACTGCCAAGGGATTTTGTATCCATTGCCGGTGGAAATTAGTCCGTAAAAGTGTTTCATTATAATAATATTTTGCCACCTAAAATTAGATATTAAACGTGGTAGAGTAGTCACGACATATCTGGTTTATGGTTGCAGTACAAATGAGTTTTACCAGGGAAGGACCTCACTCTCACAGAACACCAACATGAAATGGTAGCTTAATGCTGCTGTGTTTCGTATGGTGAGTTTAGGGAACTGCAAACGTTATCTATCTTAGTCCTATATATATACATACAGGTGTCCCAGAAATAGACGTCAAGCCGGAATTGGGTTAATTAGCCTAGTTTTTAGGTCTAGAATAGTTAACAGAAAAATATTTAAAAATATCTTTGCTATGTACTTTAAAAATTACAGGCATTTATAAAAAATGCAGAAATTCGACATCCTGTAACGGTCTTTTAACTCCTGTTAGTACAAATTTTAATTCTTTATTTTAATTTTCTTTTTATTGTGTAATCCTGAACAATGCTTCTGCAAATACAACCAACTGCTCCGTCCAGAAGGAAATGTAATTTTTTTTCGAACCATGTATTTAAAATTAATACTTTGCCAAGTTTTAAACGACTGTACTGAAAAAATATATACAACACGAGCTTGGCAAGTAACTTTAAAAATTGGCGAATTTAATAAGGATTCTAAAATGATATAACACTTGTTAACATAACTTTACCGAGATTCCAACTTGACGACGTCGATTTCTGGGAGAACCTGTATATATATACATAGAAAATTAAAATTTTAATGGGTACTAGTGGAGAACGAACCGGGGTTGCTAGCGTACTGTGAAATTTTATGGTAAACTGCTTGCCCCTCAGTTACCAGGGCTTGTTTTGAGTCTTTGTATGGCCTACAAATAATTCTTCTATCTTAATCGTCCCGTAAACTTACACTGCTGCACATGGAAGGATCTCTTCCCGATGTAGGGAGGATTTGCCTCAGTCGTCACGCTTGGCAATGACGATCGCAGAACCAGACGTGAGCACCTCTGGCAATGTTGCCTGTCGCCGGTCTGGAAATTTTACATCTGAAGTAAACGAGGTGGTTATATCGCCATCTGTCGGAAAACCAAACCCAAAGTCGCCTCTTACGAAACCCACGGGATAAAATGTGATGATGAATTCTCCTATACCGCACTTACACGCCAACTTCGAATGTACTGTGTGTGTAACACTAATGCTGTGTAGAATTCGAAACAGCTATTATAAGAATAGATTTTTCTAATACTACTACCTAGAGTATATTCTTAATATCTACAAAAAATACTAGTCAAAATGTATGGCATAATAAATTAATTATCAAATCACGTAAAAATAATATTAAATAATTTTATATTTTGTTAAATTAATATATGTTGTTAAATTCGATAAGTATTGTTATTTAGGTTACTTGACCATTAATATTTGCACACCACTAAGGTAGAATATGTGGAACGAATTATACTCAAACACCATTGTACAACCATATTTTTGAAAATAAAGATTATTATTATTATTATTATTATGTATAACGCTTTCTGTGTGGGATTCGAACCAGCGTTTATTAGATTAATGTAATTATAATATGGTCAGAAGTACGTCATCATTATTCTTCGAATTAAGATTATTTAACAATTTTTCCCTCCAAAAATGAATACAGAGAACATTATCCAGAGTAATTGGCTAAAATACTTTATATCTTTCAACGTTAAATGAGTGTAATTATGTAAAATATTATAATTTCTCTATATATCCTTAGTAAGGCATAAATTCCGCCCACTGTAAACCGTCTAAGGTATCTTACAATAAAGACACAATGTCTTACAATAAATAAAATGTTTGATTTCTTTGTATTTCAGAACAACCCTGCATACAAAGCAATAATTTTTCAAAACCGTGTGAGATTAAATCAAATTCTACTGATTGTTACATAAATGATGTTCGTAAAGGAAGCCTCGATTTAGAAAGCACTTCTATTAAATCAAAGCCTAAACTGAAAAAAGATACTCAACCAGTTATTAAAAAAGCGAAGCATCCTGCAAAAATTATAAAAAGGAAAATGTTGAAACAGAGTGTAAATATTCTTACGAAAAACACATCTGAGACATCAACAAAATACATTTTTGAATCTGATGATTGTAGTAAAAAAAAATTAACAAAAGATATCCTCGCCGACCACATATCATACAGTCATAAGACGCAAAAGAACTCAGATGCAGTTCAGAAACAAGTTGAACAAACTCCAGTACTACAACTAATGGATATATATAACTGTGATATTTGCGAATTTAAAACACCTCAAAAACGTTGCATTTTAGCTCATATTAAAGCACACGTCGCTAAGCAAATGTACTGTTGTAATAGTTGTGATTATAAATGTATTACAAAAAGTACGTTGCAAACACATATGAAAATACACACCGGAGAAAAACCTTTTTCGTGTAATATCTGTGAATTTAGATTTAATACAAAAGGTGGTTTTCAAAGACATATGAAAATACACACCGGTGAAAAACCTTTTTCGTGTAATATCTGTGAATATAGATGTGTTAGAAAGAGTGCTTTGCAAATACATATGAAAATACACACAGGAGAAAAACCTTTTTCGTGTAATACCTGTGAATACAGATGTATTACAAAAGGTGATTTGCAAAACCATATGAAAATGCACAGCGTCGAGAAACCTTTTTCATGTAATATCTGTGAATTTAGATGTAATTTTAAAAAGAATTTGCAAACACATATGAAAACACACACCGGTGAAAAACCTTTTTCGTGTAATATGTGTGAATATAAATGTACTTTTAAAGGTAATTTGCAAATACATATAAAAAAACACACCGGTGAAAAACCTTTTTCGTGTGATATCTGCCAATATAGATGTTTTACAAAAAGTGATTTGCAAATACATATGAAAATACACACAGGAGAAAAACCTTTTTCGTGTAATATCTGTGAATATAAATGTTCAAGAAAAACTCATTTGAAACAACACAAAAATACACACTGGTGAAAAACCTTTTTCCTGTAATATTTGCGAATTCAGATGTAATGCAAAAGGTAATTTGCAAACACATATGAAAATACACACCGGTGAAAAACCTTTTTCGTGTAATATCTGCGAATTTAGATGTAACGCAAAAGGTAATTTGCTAACACATATGAAAATACATACCGATGAAAAACCTTTCTCGTGTAATATCTGTGAATATAGATGTATTACTAAAATTCGTTTGCAAAGGCATATGAAAGTACACACCGGAGCAAAACAATTTTCGTGAGCTGTCTAGTAAAATATATACAATAATATGTAAACGTGTTTTATATAAATATAAAAGTGTGCCAGATAAAAATCTATTTTTTAAATTTCTATGTAATTAAAGAACGAGTAGTACACCTTTCTGTGCCTTATGTGCTGATTGAAACTGCATTTATTTGGAAAAAGTTAAGGCTACAGTCTTATAAAAATGATTTGTATCGAATAATTAGCGCCATGTAGCATTTTTAGGGCATTCTAACATTTTAGAATAAAATATTTTATATTATTTTAACCTATCACTCACTGCGCCCGCCATAACAAAAAACAGCTTTGTACCGAGGCCTCTGTCGTCACCTCAGCTGGCGGCACTTGTTATAAACATTTATGTTTCTCACGACCTTTCGTTTATGTTTAAAGAGGTTTTAGTTACAGTTATTTAAAGCCGATAAGATTTTCGATAAGTAGAAACAATAACCATAACATTTAAATGTTTATTTTATTTTGTACAGCTCTTTGTTTCTAACGGATCTTGATAAAGTGTACTTACTGACGTTAAATTTTATTTTATGAATGAACTATCGTAAGTTTTTATTTTATTTTTATGTCCTTACAATCAATACAACATATCCCTTTCAGCACAGAATGATACGATAGTGCGTTCAACTTTGAAAAATTATGGTGAATAATCTAACCAATTTTACCGCGCCAAAACGCTGTCGATCGATTGTGCGTTTCATTAAGTATGATATTTTAAAAACAAATTCCTTCATTGGCGCTCAGTCGGTGTTGTGTCAAGTGACAAGTATGGACGCGTACTTAAAGACGAGAGGCACGCAAAGTAAATATTTATTTAAATAACTTAATTGATAGATTTTAATATGTTTTATATGCATTTATTTTAAATGAACCCTTAAAATGTAGAATTAGTTTTTATTTTTAGTCAAAATTTGATAAAGTTGGGTTCTGAAATTACTTAAAGATATAAAACACGATCGTGCATGTCAGGACGGTGTTTGTTTTTTGATTATTCTCAGTAATGTAAATGTTTCGTTTCTTTTAGGGCCTTTAACTTCAGAATTGGTTCATGAACTCATTGGGGATGGTTGTAACTCGGAGCTCGAAGATTCAGATGGCGAAGATCTTCACAGCAGAGCAGCCGCGGCAGAACAGACTAGCACAGAGGATGAAATGGACGCAGATATTGAGTCCACCGTAAGACCTAACGCCGAAGCCGAATTCTTTCCTGTACAAAATCCAGAGTTTTCTATGCCAGAGAGTGAGCTACCATTTAAGCATCAACGTTTTACCGCACGCAACCGTTCGTCAAGCCAACGTCGCACAATCGACGTACAGTCGTCATCCTCGGGTTGCAGTCCATCGGCGTCGTCAACAAATCGACGACCACCTATTGCCACTACAATTCGCGATCGGGCACCAGTTCAACTTAGCCATTCTTCTGCATCTAGTACTCGAACACCAACCACACAGACGAACCAGCGGCAAAGGAACTGGAGAAAAAGGCCCTTTGAAGATAAAGATCACTCTGGATATTTACCTCGCCCAGCTACTACTCTTCTTACATCTTTGGAATATTTTTCTTTAAATTTTGATGATCAGTTTTTTGAAAACACTGCAAATTGTACTAATATTTATTATATGACAAAAACTGGCAATGTGCTTAATACAACAGCAGCAGAGATCAAAAAATTATATGGAGTTTTACTGGTAATGGGATGTATTAGCTATCCCAGAATCCATATGTACTGGCGTCAAGGTATGGATTTGCAACTTACATCTAATGTCATGACTAGGGACCGCTTCTTCTTGCTCCGCAACAATCTGCATGTCGTCTTTTCAGACACACCACCACCAAATAATACAAACCCGCTCTGGAAAATACAGCCAGCAATCCAAGCCGTTCACAAAGCTTGCGAAAAAATTGAGAGGACGCCAGGCTACTACAGTATCGACGAGCAAATAATTCCTTTTACGGGAAGATGTCGCATTCGTGTATTAGTTCGTAACAAACCGCGGCCACTAGGATTAAAAAACTATGTAGTTACTACATACCAAGGCCTCATGGTCAATTTTGAGATTTACTACCCGCAAAATCCAATTTTCGATAGAAGTCTAGGAGAAGGGCCCGGAGTCATCTTGTATTTGGCGCAAAGCATCCCAAGCGGTAGTTGCATATACTTTGATCGATATTTTAATACGGTTCCACTCTTAGAAAGATTACATCAAATGAACTTGCACGGAACAGGGACAATCATGGCTAACCGTGTTCCCGATGGAAAAAAAACTGTAGCAGCCAGATTAATCGTAGAAGTCGAATAAGCTCAACATCAAGATCCCCTTACTGCTACTATCATCGACGTTTCGGGATCGAGGCAAGAAAATGCACAGCACCGTGTACATTCAAAAATGAAAATACGAATACGGAAAACTAACTAGTACGCTCGATGCGACGGGATCCAGCGTAACAGCAAAGTCCTACCGTCTTTTCGTCACCGATAAAAAAAGCAAGCTCACTTTCCTTATCGACACCGGAGCAAATATCTCAGTGTTACCGCCGAAGCAAGGACAGAAGTTGAAGCCACTAGATTTTCAACTCTATGCAGCAAACAATACGGTTATTCCTACATATGGAGAAAAAACAATGGAACTTGATTTTAATCTACGCCGACCATTCAAATGGAGATTTATCGTCGCTAAAGTCAGCAAACCAATCATCGGTGCTGATTTTCTTCAACATCACCAGTTGGTCGTCGACATCAAAAATAGAAGAATCATCGACGGGAAAACCAATCTTGCATCTCAGTCTTTTGTACAAGCAACCAATCTGCCCACAATAAGAAGCATAGATGTGCAACAACCGTATCACAAGATCCTCGAAGAATACCCTGGTATCACAAGAATAACTTCAATGAAATTAACACCGAAGAACGACGTTGAGCATTTCATCGACACCAATGGACCACCACTTCATTGTCGTGCACGTCCAATCGCACCACACCTATACGAGCAAGTTCGAAAGGAATTCGAAAACATGATTGAGCAAGGAATATGCCGTCCAAGCAAAAGCCCTTGGTCATCACCACTTTACATTGAACCGAAGAAGAACGGAGAATTACGAGTTTGTGGAGATTACAGAAGACTGAATTCTATTACCACTCCTGACCGCTACCCAATACCGCGAGTCAGGGATTTCACTCATCAACTATCAGACAAGACTATATTCTCCACCATCGATCTCAACCGAGCTTACCAACAAATAAGAGTCCGCGATGAAGACATAGAGAAGACAGCAATAATTACCCCAATGGGATTATTCGAATTCCCAAGAATGATCCCAGGATTAAAGAACGGAGGTCAAACTTTCCAAAGATTCATACACGAAGTACTTCATGGACTGGATTTCGTTTTCGCATTTATTGATGATCTCCTTGTTGCAAGCCCTGATAAAGAAACGCACGAAACCCATCTACGCACCGTGCTACAGCGATTAGAAGACAACGGAATCACAATCAACCCTTCGAAATGCATATTTGGACAGCAAGAAGTTCAATTTCTTGGTTTCACCGTCAGCAAGGAAGGAATAAAACCGCCTGCCGAAAAAGTCAGAGCAATCATCGATTATGCAAAACCTAAAACTATCGAAGAGCTAAGGCGTTTTCTTGGGATGATAAATTTTTACAGAGAACACATACCTAAAGCCGCTGAAATCCAAGCACCACTTCACGCCTACCTTCACAACACGAAGAAAAAAGATAAAACGTCAATCGAATGGAACGATGAAGCCACGAAGGCATTTGAAGCTTGTAAAATTGCGATCCAAAATGCAGCTTTACTCGCTCACCCATCACACGAAGCAACCCTTGCTATCTTCAGCGACGCATCCGATCTCTCAGCAGGAGCAGTTCTCCAACAATACAGCAATGGGAAATGGCAACCACTTGGATATTTTTCGAAGAAGTTCTCCGATACTAAACGTAACTACAGTACATTCGACCGAGAGCTACTCGCTATTTACATGGCTATCAAGCACTTCAGAAAAACGTTCGAGGGTCGAAACCTGATCGTTTTTACCGACCACAAACCATTAACATATGTACTTCCAAAGAAACCATCACTATCGGAAACACCACGAAGAGCAAGACAACTTATTTTCATAAGTGAATTCACGACCGACATACGTCACATCAGTGGAAAGGACAACATAGTTGCCGACGCACTCAGTCGCGTACCAATCGACAGTGTAGCGTGCCCTACATCAATCGACTATCATAAGATCGCCGCAGCACAAGACAGAGATAGTGACAACATAAAACATCTATCGAAGCAAGGTAACTTGTCCATCAAGCAAGTTACAATGCCAATGTCGCATCTACCTATATACTGTGAAGCCTCAACGACAACCATGCGACCATACATACCAGAAGAATGTCGTCGCGAAGTCTTCAATGCACTGCACAACATTAGTCATCCAGGTGTTAGAACAACAAGAAAACTCATCACTGAAAAATTCTTTTGGCCTGCAATGCAAGCGGATGTTGGCAACTGGGCGAAGCAATGCATTCAATGCCAAAAATGCAAAGTACAAAGGCATACATCAAGTAGTCTAGCTACATTTCCACCCACGGAGAGATTCGAACACTTGCACGTTGACATCGTTGGACCATTACCTACTTCACCGCAAGGACATCGTTATCTCGTAACAATGATCGACAGAACAACAAGATGGCCAGAAGCAATACCTACCGATGATACTTCAGCCGAATCCGTCGCGAAGATAATTTATGAAAATTGGATTACTCGTTTCGGATCACCTAAAACCATCACAACGGATCAAGGAAGGAATTTCGAAAGCAACCTATTCCTCAAACTTCTTCAAACTATGGGAATACAGAAGACGCGTACAACAGCATACCATCCTCAGTCAAACGGAATAATCGAACGATGGCATCGTACATTAAAGACTGCACTCAAGACTCGTTTATCTCAACATACAAAGTGGATTGATGAGCTACCTACAGTGCTACTCGGACTACGAGCAACACCGCGTGCAGACACTAGTCTTAGCGCCGCCCAGCTAACCTACGGCTGCAGCATAAGGCTGCCGTGTGACTTCTTCAGTTCAGCAGCGTCAAACAAACAAGAAATGGATTACGATTTCGTAACTAAACTTCGAGAATCAATTAACAAAGCCTTATCGTTGAAATGCACCGAAATGCAATCACACAGAAATAATAAATCAGTATTCATTCACCAAGATTTGAAAACATGCAAACAAGTTTTTGTAAGAAACGACGCAATGAAAAAACAATTTCAACCTACCTACGATGGACCGTATAAAGTATTAGAGAGAAATAGCAAGACTTTTAAACTACAAATACCCGGAAGGAAATCTACGATTATATCGATCGACCGACTAAAGCCTGCCTATATTATTAACGAGGATACTGCAGAGGATTCATCATCATCATCAAAACCACCAGCGAGGAAGCTTGAAACTTCATCATCTACATCAACCCAGTTGAAACCTATTTTAAAAACTACGAAATACGGGCGAGTCGTCAAGCCTCCGGTACGCTTTCGCTGGGGGGAGAGTGATGTAGCAGCCAGATTAATCAAACCTAAACGGGAATAAATAATATATACTCCGCTGCTACCATAACGCGGAAGGCGAGAATAAATAAAAAAACATTTTATTTCCTAATTATTCTTGGCTACTGAGATACTGCGGACTGTATATAGATAATTTGACGTTCTTATAAAGAAACAAGAAGCAGCCGCAAATATCATTCAGCGCCACACCGACTTCACACGCCGCTATCGTCACGTATCCGTCGACCAATGGTGAGCCGTTGCTTCAACGCCGCAGTTCGTTTCCTCTTGCTGTTCCGGAGCTGTATTCCACACCGCCGCCGCCCGCCGACTACGCGTGCGCACCGATCTGCATGTCTTATATAGCCCGGTCCAGCGACGTAGCTTCGTGAACAACAAACAAGTCTCACGCCGGGAAACGAAACGTAGATAATTGTATATTTTAAATAGTTTTCATTGGTCATAAAATAAGCAATATAATTGGCTAGGCAAAATATTAATTGTTACCATTGGCAAATCAATAATGAGCCAGCCATATAAATATAGGCAAGGTTGATGCAAAATATATTCCATATTCCATTCTGAATCCCATTCGACAGTACCTTCATAAACATAAACAGTAGTTTCATTTCTCCACCTTAAAGAAAACCACTCGGAGTCTGTTAATAG